ACACTTTCACACACTCGACTTATCATTTTTTTGCAGAGGGCTCAGAATAAAAACAGTCGAAGATAAAAAATTTTAAGTCAAAACATTCCTCCAATGCCAATTTCCAAACCCCTCCTTTAAGTGAGGCATTTACTTCCCATTTCCAGGACTAAGTCCGGCTATATGAAAAAAAACCGGTTTCCCGAACCTTCATAATATTCCCCTGCTCACACCCCAAACAGGTTTTCAGGTCCCAAGTCCCATTCGTTCCATTCCCCCTATCTAACACGCTCACGCACGCTTCTGGAAGTCCAAGCCCTTACCACAAAACCCCTTTACCCCCTCTCTCCAACCCTTTCGGGACGACCCTCCCCCTTCCTTCCCCTTTTTGATTTATATGCTTTCCATGTCATTCTACTGTGATCCATTCTCTTAAATGACCAAACCCACCCCCCCAACAAACCTTTTGCCCCTTTTTATAAATACTTTTATTAACCCCACACCTCTCCTAATTTCCAATCCTTTTTCTCCAAATTTTTCCCCACACTTCCCAAACGGACATTCCTCTAAAACCTCCCCCCCCATTTCACCAATTCCCCCCCTAAAAGGGGGGGGGAACTTTTTCATTACTTCCTTTCTTGCCTCCAAAAACTTTTTTTACCCACTTCCAACCACCCTCCCCTTTTTTCCCATTTTTCTTTTGATTCCCTTTTCCCAAAATCATCCCCAAAAAAGTACTGTTCATTCCATTTTAATTTAAATTCCCTTTTTAAATTTTCACCCTCTCCCACCCTAGCCTTTAATTTTTCCTTTAAAACCATTAAATATAAAAAACTTTTGCTTTTTCAAACTCCTAAGACTTTTTACCAAAAGAAAGGTCTTCCTTTTTAATTTTTCCCCTAATTTAACCCCCCCCCTCTAAAAAAACCCCCCTTTTCCCTTTAAAACCCCACTATAATTTTTAAAAAACCCATTGACATTCCCCCCTTCAAACCCTTTTTTTTAAATTTCCTTTTCTAAATCCAGTAACTCATAAAAATCCCCACTTTATAATAATTTCCCATTATTTTTGAACATTCCCTTTCCCCTTACCATTTATAATCCTTTTTAAAAATCAATCAAAAAAAATTCCCCTTTTTACTAAATTTTCCATTATCTTAAAAGTAAAACTTTCCTTTAATTTAAAAAAAACCTTTCTATAATTACATTCTTTTTCCCTTTTTTAATTAAAAAACCCCTATACATTTTCCGGGTTATACTCAGAAGCCTTTTCCCAAATTTTTTCCCCAGTTCGTCCCCCCCAAAAAAAGGGCTATAGCTCTCTGCAACCCTGGAAACCTTCCCCCCAACATTTTTTCAAAAGAACCCACCCCAAACACTTATCCCCCCTTTTTAAAAATTTCTGTAGACCCCATCGCCCAGCTGCTTTCCCCCCTTTCATTTTCGTAATTTGCCTAGACTCCCCCACACTTCTTCTGCTCTTCTTTCACTCCAAAAAGATGGTATCCCCCCTACCGTGCATGAAATTATGCCTCTGTTTTTTCCTTAACATTTAAAAGTTCTAAAAATTTTCTCGCCATTCCCCCAAAATACCTCCTTCCCCATTACTAACCCCCCCTACTCGTTTTTAACTGACAAAATCCAATTTTCCTGGCTTTCTTAACTTTTTTAAATCACCCCAAAATTTTTTTTTTTTTCTTAAAAATTTATTGACAGGGCCTCTCCCACTCTTCATCGCTCTCCTTTTGCACTCTCTCACCATCTCTTTACCCTTTTTTTACTTCCATATCTCTGCTTTCTTATAACCTTTGCTTTGTAAAAACCTCCAAAATACCTTTTTCTCTTTTAACACCCTTACTTCATCTTCACCCTCACTCCTCTTTCCTCCTGCCCCCCCCCTCCTAAAACCACAAACTTCTGCCCCCCATTTAAACTGCATTTTTAAACTTTCCAACCCCCTTCAACCCCCCCCTATCTCTTTGCCCCTAGCCCCCCTTTTGCCAATAGTCGCTTATATCTCACCCGAACTTCTCCCCTTAGTTTTTTTACACTTTCACTTCCCTTACTTGTTGTTGCACCTTCCTCTTTTCCCATCACCTTTACTCTAACTGTAGTACAACTAAAAAATGATCGATATATCAGTTGCCCCCTATAAAATTTTACATCCTGGACCACCCCTCAACCTTTTATCCCCCAATACATAATCTAATAAACTACTTTCATTACGTGCTACTCTACCTTGTATATTTATTTTCCTCTTTTTCAAAAATGTATTACTTATTACCAAAATTTCTTTCTCCATAGCTCAAATTAAAAACTCCCCCTTTACATTTCCCTGGCACCCCCCAAATTTACCTAAAATACCCCTCCAAAATTTTTACCCCCCTTTAGCATTAAAACCCCAACCCCCATTATTCCACTTGATTCAAAACTCCCCCGCATTCACTCAACATTTCCCAAAATCCCCTCTCTTCCTCTACACTTCTCTCTTCTCCAGGTGCATACACGCTTTTTATAACCCCTTTTTACATCCAATTTTATTTTACTCCACATTCCTTGGAAAATTAAAAATTTTAGTCCCCCTTTTCTGCCATAGTTTTCCTTCAAAATTATTGCTCTCCTTCTTTTGCTCTAACTTATTTGAAAAACCCCGACCTAATCCATTTTTTCCCCTCCCCTGAAACCTCCACCCCCCTTTAGCTTTGTTTTATTTAAAACCAGGAATCCAGTTCTTCTTTCAAACATCCACATCATCTCTTTCTTTTCATCTGCACAACATCAGCAAATTCGTTCCCCCTTTGACATTTTCTTTTCTTTTTCTTTTTAGTAATCTTTTCAGGGGGAAAAAGGGGTTTTTAGCCCATTGTTCCCGGGTTTTAGTTGATTTTTCAACACGCAGGCTTACGGAGGAAAGATTTTATTCCCCTTCCCTGGATATAAAAGGAAAATTAATAAAAACCAAAAAACTATTAAGATAAAATCAAAGAAAACTCGATGAGTGTGTATAAATAAATTGTACTGTATGTGTATATATATTTTTATAATTTATACTATTATATCTCACGAATTAAAAATAATTTTTTTTTAAGGAAAAAAATAAAAAAAAAATTCTGATCAGTACTTACCGAGATACAGCAGCGGGAAGTTGACCCAAAATGACCGGGTGGCGGCAACATCAGTGACTTTCGCAAAATCCCATTTTTTTATTTTACGTTTTTTATACTTTTTTCTTTTCTTTTCTAATTTATTTCTTTTTCTAATAACATTTGTGGCCTGTGAGACCAGTATAATGTATATTGTATAAGTGTACACTCATTGTATTCAACACAATAACTGCACTAATTTATCATTATATTGCTTACAAAACTTGTTTACAAGTTTATTGTAAACAAAATGATGAAAATATTAGTGCGGTTGTGTTGAATACAATGGTACCATATAGCACCATATGGTACAATGGTGCCATAGGGTGCAATGGTACCATATGGTACAATGGCACCATATGATACAATGGTACCATATGGTACAATGGCCCATGATACAATGGCCTATGATACAATGGTACCATATGATACAATAGTACCATATGGTACAAAAAAAAATGGTACAATGACACATGATACAATGGTACCATATGATACAATGGTACCATATGGTACAATGGCACCATTTGGTACAATGGTACCATATGATACAATGGTACCATATGGTGCAATGGCACCTTATGGTACCATATGGTGCAATGGTACCATATGGTGCAATGGTACCATATGGTTCTATATGATGCAATGGTATCATATGGTACATTGTACCATACAGTACAATGATGCCATATGGTTCATTGTACCATATGGTACTATAAGGTACTGTTGTATTCAACACAATAAACACACTAAAATTTTCATTATTATTTTGTTTACAATAGTTGTTTACAACAAAAATATGCAAAAACGTTGTATATTTGTAATGTTCTATTATATATTTACAAGTGTCCAGGAACTTGACGTGTTCCTTGAGGTGGATGACAAAGCACACTGTCTTGGAAACTGCGGAGTCAGTAGCTAGCTTGCGTCGCCACTCACTCAGTCTTGGCTGGTGTCTCATGCCACCAACACCTATTGATCATATGGTACACGGTATCATGTGTTACAGGGTACCATATGGTACATTGTACTATATGGTATAGGGTACCATGCAGTACAGGATAACATATGGTGCAAGGTACCATATGGTACAGGGTACCATATGGCACAGGGTACCATATGGCACAGGGTACCATACAGTACAGGACACCAGATGGTACAGATACAGGGATAACTATGGAAATAAGTCACCCTGACTTTTTTGGGTTATCCCAGGATTTTATACGTAAACTGCTATGTATGATAATCTATGTAATTGTATTTCTGTACACCTGAATAAACTTACTCAAGTGCATGTGGCATTAGTGAGCAAACAAGGATGCATTGTAAAAGCTGAAACAAGCCCTCAACATAAAGATGAGAGGAAAAAAATAGTATACAGTACATGTTGACTTCCTACACAGAGACCAACAAATGAGGAACAAACCTATGGATCTAGATCAGAAAAGGTGAGAGAGGTCTCTTGTGAAGAAAAAAAAAAGCTTTCTGGAATATATGAGCAAGGAAAAACGGTGTTCAATTATATGACATGATCCCAAGGCATGTGAATGAGACAAAAAATTTCAGAAAAAAAAAGCTAGTCAAAATTATTGTACCTATTCCAAGAGACTACACAGCACATGAACTAATACTAAAGGAATGTGAGTAGTAGGTAAGGTGAAGATATGTCAACTTATTATAACTACTGTGTATTACAAAGATATGAAGATCCCTGATATAGGATAGTTAGTTCACAAAAAAGGTCACCAGGATGGTAAAAAGTAGTTTCAAATTATAAATGAACATCAGTGTTTAAAGTTAAGTTAATTTGAAGAAGTCTTAAGATTTTGCCATGAAATAAAAGTAATATGAAGTGGACTATTAACTGACATTATATACCTCCTTCACACTTCGAAGCAGAGTAACCCAAGTGTCTGAGGGAGTGATCCGAACAGTGTTGAGCTCACGCATCTTGGCCAGTGTCTCTCCTCCACTGATCACTAAGAGTGTGGGCATGTAAGAACTGTCTGCAGGATCTACAAGCAATCGAAGCCATTCAACTGCTATGTTGGGCTGCATCTCTAAACGTATCCAGTGCTGCAGATTAAAAATGGTAACTAATTTCAGTTATTATTATAAAACTCTTTTTCTGCACAATGTAGATGAGGTTAAAAGTATTTAAAAAATTATGTTTTCTATAATTGTTTCAGATTTTTTATTAACACATGCCATCTCCCAATGAGGTAGGGTGACCTGAAAAAGAAGAAATTCACCATCGTTTACTCTATCACTGTCTTGCTAGAGGTGCACTGATACTACAGTTCAGATGCCCCTCCAAACTGCAAATATCCCCACCCCTCCTTAACCCTTTGACTGTCGCAACCCCCAATCCTGAGGTGTCTCCTGGTGTCGCAAAATTTAAAAAAAAAAAAAATTATTTTTTCTTATGAAATGATAGAGAATCTTTTCCTGATTGTAATGACACAAAAAAAAGGAAATTTGATGGAAAACTGACGGAATTATGCTCTCGCGAAGTTAGCGACCTCGGATGTTTACAAATCGGCGATTTCGCCCACTTTGAGCCCTATTTTTGGCTAATTCCATTGTTCCAGTTGCCCAAACTCATAGCTATTTCTTTAGAACTCCATTTTTTCTATCGATTGAGTACATGAAACTGCCCATTTACCGATTTCAACTATCTAATAATGTGGTCAGAAATTTGCAATTTGGCCAATTTCACGAAAACTAAAAAATATGACAATTTCAAAATAAGGTCCAGAATGAACAATGCAGACATTCCTGGCTCTAAAATAACATTTTCTTTGCTCATCAGTCATGTCTCCAGGCCCCTCTGATATTACTCTTGCTTTCTATTTTGAATTTTTATTCAAACAAAAAATAGAAGACTTACTATTATGCAGACTACTGCAATGCTGTAATAATTGTATAAATACCATCAACCCATTCATGTCTGCATATTAGAATGGCTAGTTGGACATTTATTGGACAATGGCATCATTTGTTTACTTTTGAACATTGGCAAAAATCAAACATTTCCTCATACTTTGAGCTCCATTTCTAGTTCTTTTTATAGTAAAATCAATCAAAATCACCTCTATTTCTATAATATGTTTTCCATTCTATCAAATGAGACCAAGAAAACGAGAATACAACCATAAATACTATACAAAAATAGACCACAAAGTCGGCATTTTAATTAAAAAAAACGGTCGGAGTTTTTTTTTTCTCATTATGCACTGTGTGCTCCAGGATTTTTTTTATATGGTGCACACTGACCACACAGACCCATTCTCTCACATGTGGGCCTACCAGCTTTCTCCTGCTTGATTTGAAGCCGCTAGAATTTATGAGTATATATACGTCAAACACGGTACCTCGTAAGACGTATATATACGGCCACGACAGTCAAAGGGTTAAGAGGGCAGGCACTGTACATACTTCCCACCTCCAGGACTCAAGTCTGGCTAACCGGTTTCATTGAATCTCTTCACAAATGTCACCTTGCTCACACTCCAACAGCTCATCAAGTCTCCAAAATAATTTTCCTTTACTCACTCCTATCTAACATGCTCATGCATGCCTGCTGGTTGTCCAGGCTCTTTGCAAACAAAACCTCCTTTACTCCCTCCCTCAAACCTTTCCTAGGGTGATTTCTACCTCGCCTTCCTACCACTACAGATTTATACATCCTCCAAGTCATTCTATTTTGCTCCATCCTCTCTAAATGTCCAAACCACCTCAACAATCCCTCCTCAGCCCTCTGGTTAATACTCTAGAAACCCCTACACCACCTCCTAATTTCCAAACTATGAATTCTCTGCATAATTATACCACACATTGCCCTCAGCTACATCTCCTCTTTCTCCAACATCTTCCTTGCTGCAGCTTTCACAACCCATGCTTTATACCCATATAAGTGTGTTGGTACCACTATACTTTCATCAATTTCCCTTTTGACCTCTATAGATAACATTCTCTGTCTCCACAGGTGCCTCAATGCACCACCCACCATTTTTTCCCTCATCAATCCTATGGTTCACCTCATCTTTCATAGACCAATCTGCCAAAAAGTCCAATCCCAGACCAGGGCTTATAGAAATGCTACCTGGCTAATATGTACTCACACAACCTTCGGATTTAATATATTTTTTCATGACATAATTGAAGTTATAAATGCAGCAGAGAGAAAGAGGGTGGAGGCAGTGGAGATGTCGTGTCTAAGGGCAACATGCGGTGTAAATATTATGCAGAGAATTTGCAATGTGGAAATTAGAAGGTGTGGAGTTACTAAAAGTTTATATTCAGAAGGCTGAGGAGGGGTTGTTGAAGTGGTTTGATCATTTAGAGGATGGCGCAAAATAGGACGACTTGGAGGGTGTATAAATCTGTAGTGGAGGGGAGGAAGGGTAGGGGTTGTCCTAGGAAAGGATGGAGGGAGGGGGGTAAAAGAGGTTTTGTGTGCAAGGGGCCTAGACATGCAGCAGGCATGTTAGGTAGGAGTGAATGGAGACAATTAGTTTTTGGGACTTGACGAACTGTTGGAGTGTGAGCGGGTTAATATCTTTGTCAAGGGATTGAGGGAAACCAGTTAGACGGACCTAAGTCCTGGAGGTAGGAAGTACAATGCTTGCACTTTAACGCTTTCAGGGTCGAGAGGCCCTCTCCTAAACTTGTTCTCAGGGTCGAAAATTTTTTCATATGAAAAAAAAATTTTCATATTAAATTTTTTTTTTTCATATGAAATGATAGAGAATCTTTTCCCAATCATAATGACACCAAAAGTATGAAATTTGATGGCAAACTTACAGAATTATGCTCTCGCGAGGTTAGCGGTCTCAACGATGTTTACGCATCGGCGATCTCGCCCACTTCAACCCCTGTTTTCGGCCAATTCCAGTGTACTAATCGACAAAAATCATAACTATTTTGCTAGAAATCTAATTTTTCTATCGAATGAGTACAAGAAACCACCCATTTACCGATTTCAACTATCCAGAAAAATGGTCAGAAATTGGCAATTTTACCAATTTCACACAAATTTCAAAAGATGCCAATTTCCAAACAGGATCCAGAATAAACAAGACAGACATTCCTGGCACTAAATTAACATTTCCTCTGTTCATTAGTCATGTTCCCAGGTCCCTCTTACATTTCTTTTGCTTTCCACTTTGAATTTTTATTCTCACAAAAAAAAGAAGATTTACTGTTGTGCAGACTACTGCATTAGTGTAGAAATGGTATAAATAATATTAGCGCACTTGTGAAAGAATATTAGACTCACCAGTTGATGTGTATTGGACACATGGCATGATTTGCTTACTTTTAAACTTGGGCGAAAATCGAACATTTCTGCTACTTTGAGCTCAATTTCAAGGTACTTTTCATTGCGAAACCAATCAAAATCATCTCAATTTCTGTAACATGTCTTCTATTCTATAAAATGAGACCAGGAAAACTAGAATACAACCATCAATACCATATGAAAATACAGTGCAAAGTCGCTGTTTTAAACCAAAAAAACCCTGAAAGGGTTAACCCTTTCAGGGTTTCTGACGTACTAGTACGGCTTACGCACCAGGGTTTTTGACGTACTAGTATGCCTAAATTCTAGTGCCTTCAAATCTAGTGAGAGAAAGCTGGTAGGCCTATATATGAAAGAATGGGTCTATGTGGTCAGTGTGCACAGTATAAAAAAATCCTGCAGCACACGGTGCGTAATGAGAAAAAAAAAACTTCGAGAGTGTTTTTGGTTTAAAACAGCGACTTTGCACTGTATTTTCGTATGGTATTTATGATGGTATTCCAGTTTTCCTGGTCTCATTTTATAGAATGGAAGACATATTACAGAAATTGAGATGATTTTGATTGGTTTCACAATAAAAAGTACCTTGAAATTGAGCTCAAAGTAGCAGAAATCTTCGATTTTTGCCAAAGTTCAAAAGTAAAGAAATCATGCTATGCGTCCAGTACACGTCAACTGGTGACTCTAATATTCTTTCACAAGTGCGCTGATATTATTTATACCATTTCTACACAAATGCAGTTGTCTGCATAACAGTAAATCTTCTATTTTTTTGTGAGAATAAAAATTAAAAATTCAAAGTGGAAAGCAAAAGAATGTAAGAGGGGCGTGGGGATGTGACTAATGAACAGAGGAAATGTTATTTTAGTGCCAGGAATGTCTTTCATGTTTATTCTGAATCCAATTTGGAAATTGGCATCTTTTGAAATTTGTGTGAAATTGGCAAAATTGCTAAATTCTGACTACTTTATTGGATAGTTGAAATCGGTAAATGGGTGGTTTCTTGTACTCATTCGATTGAAAAAATGGAGTTCTAGTGAAGTAGTTATGATTTTGTCGACTAGTATGCTTGAATTGGCCGAAAATAGGGCTCAAAGTGGGGAAAATCGCCGATGCGTAAACATCGTCGAGACCGCTTAACTTCGCAGGAGCATAATTCCCTAAGTTTTTCCATCAAATTTCATACTTTTGGTGTCATTATGACCAGGAAAAGATTCTCTATCTTTTCATAAGAAATTTTTTTTTTTTTTTTTTTGAAAATTTGGCGACCTTGAGAACAAGTCTGGCAGCAGTGGGCCTGTCGACCCTGAAAGGGTTAAAGGAGGGGTTTGGGATACTGACTGTTTGGAGTGACATCTGAACTGCCGTATATGGGAGCCTCTGCAAAGACAGTTATTATGTGTGAATGATGGTGAAAATGTTTCTTTTTTTGGGTCACCCTGCCTCAGTGGGAGATGGCCGATGAGCTAAAAAATAAATTAAAGTTCATATGCAAGAAGCAGTAGTTTTTTTTTCAGTTTAGAACTATATGTGAATTTAAAGTAGAACATGAACAATGTGGTCACAATAAATTAATTTTATCCATACCTTGCCTTCCTGCCCACAACTCTGCCAATAGCTTCCAGTGCCGTCAATAAGCCTGTGGGCCCAGTTTTCTCGGGATGACACACTAAGATTACGAACACAACGATACCAATCTTCTACTGTGCCATCAACTCCTCCCAAGATGCCCTCCTTCTTACGGAAACGGCCTCTACCAGGGGGCCCAGCATAAACTGCTGGACTACCTGCCGTCATACAACAATTAATAAGTATATCTCAGTTAAAACAACATATCATTCAAAAACAAATTAAACCATTATTTTAAAACAGGTGTACAACCTTCAAAAATTACAATTCATTGGTCTAACCTGGTTCAGCAATTCTATTGAAGAGATGACGGTGACTTCTCTTAGTTTGATAACATTCTTCACAATAGTCAAAATTGTCACATACCTTGCACTTCAATCTTGCACCTGTGGTTTCAAAGCAAATTTTAAGATTTATTATACAGCAAAACATTTTATACATTTTTTTTTTAACACACTGGCTGTCTTTCACTGAGGCAGGGTGACAAAAAAAAAAAAAAAAAAAAAAAAAACTTCCGTCATTCACACCATCAATGTCTTTGTATAGGCATGCAGATACAGTGTTTAAGGTGTTACCCCAAACAGGTAATATTTAAAGTGCAGGCATTGTACTTCCCACCTCCAGGATTCAAATCCATATACACTGTATAATAATTTTTCACTCATTGTGCATGGGACACTACCACAGAAAATAACTTATAACCTTTAATAACCTAGCAAAAAGCTGCAGTGTGATTGATTACTTACTCCTGCATTAGACAACACACTCCACCTCTTTTCAAGAGTTTTAACTTGCTAAATATACAAAACATCCACACTTATTATTGTGCCTACTACATACACAGAAAACTATACTCTTATGTAAACCCTCCTCTCAAACTCCTTGATAACTATAACAGAACACACAACCATAATATGAGACACAGATCGCTCTTCGACATCTCCCGTGTTCATCTCTTCCTATGCAGAAATGCTATGCACGTAAAAGGCCCGAAGATCTGGAATTCATTGCCAGAACAAACTAAAGGACCCTTGTCTGCAAATCAGTTTAAGGTCCAAATAAGAAATCATATCATCACCCAAAATTAACCAGACAAACCATACCTAACCACTACCAGTTTCTCAAAAGCTACTCATATTGTGCTGATAATTGCTCAACCACTTACTACTTCGAAATTAGGATGTCTGTTCTTTTCATTGTTTCAAATAACAGTAGATTGTAATACAGTACATCATAATGTAAACTGTTCCATTGTAATACCAAATTTCATTGTTTTAAATATCACTAAACTGTAATACATCATACTGTAAACTGTTTTAAATTGTTACATTGTAGTACTGTAATATTTATTAACTAATTCAATAGTGTACAAAGTCTCTACTAGACTTTTCACAACCATGTAGCATCACCTGATATAATATTCAATTTTCCTGTACTCACTCAAACTCATCTAATGACCATATGAACTATGTATTATTGCCTTACTATTCTTAAGTTAATCTTTCTTACTATTCTTAAGTTAATCTTTAAGTTTGCCCGAAATGCTTAGCATGCAGAGGGACTTTTGGCATGTACACCCAACTATTATATTCCTCTGTACAACCATGTAATTTGTCAAAATAAAAAATCTAATCTTATCTAATTTACATCAGCCACAAACAGTAACTAAGATATTACATTCCCACATTTACTTAAAATAATTCTTAATATCATTTAAACTATTAATCTAAAAGCTTTAGAGTATGTAGGTGAGAGGGAGATTATTTCCCAGTAAAAGTAGGCCTTAGACAGGGATGTGTGATGTCACCATGGTTTTTCAATATATTTATAGATGGAGTTGTAAGAGAAGTGAATGCTCGGGTGTTGGTAAGAGGTGTGGGGTTAAAAGATAATCTAACACAAAGTGGGAGTTGTCGCAGTTGTTTTTGCTGATGACACTGTGCTTTTGGGAGATTCTGAAGAGAAGTTGCAGAGGTTGGTTGATGAATTTGGTACGGTATGTAAAAGAAGTAAATTCAAAGTGAATATAGGAAAGAGTAAGGTGATGAGGATAACCAAAAAATTAGGTAATGAAAGATTGGACATCAGATTAAAGGGACAGAGTATGGAGGAGGTGAATGTGTTCAGATATTTGGGAATGGACGTGTCAGCAGATGGGTCCATGAAGATGAAGTGAATCACAGAACTGACGAGGGGAATAAGGTGAGTGGTGTACTGAGGAGTCTGTGAAGACAAAGAACTTGATCCATGAAAGCAAAGAGGGGAATGTATGAGAGTATAGTTATACCAACGCTCTTTTATGGGTGTGAGGCATGGGTTGTGAATGTTCCAAAAAGGAGAAAGTTGGAGGCAGTGGAGATGTCATGTCTGAGGGCAATGTGTGGTGTGAATATAATGCAGAGAATCCATAGTTTGGAGATTAGGAGGAGGTGTGGGATTACCAAAACTATTATCCAGAGGGCTGAGGAGGAGTTGTTGAGATGGTTTGGACATGTAGAGAGGTTGGAACAAAATAGAATGACTTTGAGAGTATAAATCTGTAGTGGAGGGAAGGCGAGGTAGGGGTCAGCTTAAGAAAGGTTGGAGGGAGGGAGTAAAGGAGGTTTTGTGTTCGAGGGGCTTGAACTTCCAGGAAGCGTGCATGAGCACGTTAGATAAGAGCGAATGGAGACAAATGGTTTTTAGGACTTGACGTGCTGTTGAGTGTAAGCAAGGTTGCATTTATGAAGGGATTCAGGGAAACCGGCAGGCTGGACTTGATTCCTGAAGATGGGAAGTACAGTGCTGGCACTCTGAAGGAGGGGTGTTAATGTTGCAGTTTTATAACTGTAGTGTAAGCATGCCTCTGGAAAGAAAATGATGGAGTGAATGATGACGAAAGTTTTTCTTTTTTGGGCCACCCTGCCTTGGTGGAAACGGCCGGTGTGTTAATAAAAAAAAAAATAATTATTTAAATCTAAAACAAGGCTTAACTCTTTTTTCATTTATCACTAATTTTCTTATTTTTTTTAAAGTCTATGTTTAATGCACTTTCCCTTGCTCTCTATACAAAATGACTTGAGAGGAAAGCTGCCATTACTTTATACACTCTGTTTCCTTCTATAAATTATTTACTTTTTCTCATTTACAAGAGATTTTGTAATTATGAACAATGGCTCCAAAATATACATACTGCATTACCTGCAAAAATATAAATAATCTTACTTATGAACTTGCCAATCATTCCATTAATCACAAAAATATAGAAGGGCTTACCATATTTTTTATTTAGAATAAAAACCTTATCACACTCAGTATGGCAATAGCAAATTCTTCTGGGCCATTCAAAAATCTATGACATTTAATGTTCAGCATTACATTTCATAAAGAATGAAAACTGCAATACTGTGGCTGGAACAATACACAAATAACAAGGACTAGTTAATGGTCCGAGTCGGAGTGAAACGATCATAAGTCACAGTCTCGTACGTGCAGGTTATCAGAGTTTCATAAATTCCCATACTGGAGGTTGTGCCTCACTGGACATGCATGGACTGGTATATTTTTTGAAGGGATTCTGGGAAACAGGTTAGCCGGACTCGAGTCCTGGAGGTGGGAAGCATAATGGCTGCACTTTAAAGTGCAGGCATTGTACTTCCCATTTCCAGGACTCAAGTCCGACTATAAGAAAATAACCGGTTTCCCTGAATCCCTTCACTAAATATTACCCTGCTCACACTCCAACAGATCGTCAGGTCCCAAGTATCATTCGTCTCCATTCACTCCTATCTAACACGCTCATGCACGCTTGCTGGAAGTCCAAGCCCCTCGCCCACAAAACCTCCTTTACCCCCTCTTTCCAACCCTTTCGAGGACGACAACTACCCCTCTTTCCTTCCCCTATAGATTTATATGCTTTCCATGTCATTCTACTTTGATCCATTCTCTCTAAATGACCAAACCACCTCAACAACCCCTCTTCTGCCCTCTGACTAATGCTTTTATTAACTCCACACCTTCTCCTATTTCCACACTCTGAATTTTCTGCATAATATTTACACCACACATTGCCCTTAGACAGGACATCTCCACTGCCTCCAACCGTCTCCTCGCTGCTGCATTTACCACCCAAGCTTCACATCCATATAAGAGTGTTGGTACTACTATACTTTCATACATTCCCTTCTTTGCCTCCATAGATAACGTTTTTTGACTCCACATATACCTCAACGCACCACTCACCTTTTTTCCCTCATCAATTCTATGATTAACCTCATCCTTCATAAATCCATCCGCTGACACGTCAACTCCCAAGTATCTGAAAACATTCACTTCTTCCATACTCCTCCTCCCCAATTTGATATCCAATTTTTCTTTATCTAAATCATTTGATACCCTCATCACCTTACTCTTTTCTATGTTCACTTTCAACTTTCTACCTTTACACACATTCTCAAACTCATCCACTAACCTTCGCAATTTTTCTTTAGAATCTCCCATAAGCACAGTATCATCCGGAAAAAGTAACTGTGTCAATTCCCATTTTGAATTTGATTCCCCATAATTTAATCCCACCCTTCTCCCGAACACCCTAGCATTTACTTCTTTTACAACCCCATCTATAAATATATTAAACAACCATGGTGACATTACACATCCCTGTCTAAGACCTACTTTTACCGGGAAGTATTCTCCCTCTCTTCTACACACCCTAACCTGAGCCTCACTATCCTCATAAAAGCTCTTTACAGCATTTAGTAACTTACCATCTATTCCATAAACTTGCAACATCTGCCACATTGCTCCTCTATCCACTCTATCATATGCCTTTTCTAAATCCATAAATGCAATAAAAACTTCCCTACCTTTATCTAAATACTGTTCACATATATGCTTCAATGTAAACCCTTGATCTACACATCCCCTACCCACTCTGAAGCCTTCTTGCTCATCCGCAATTCTACATTCTGTCTTACCTCTAATTCTTTCAATTATAACTCTACCGTATACTTTTCCTGGTATACTCAGTAAACTTATTCCTCTATAATTTTTACAATCTCTTTTGTCCCCTTTCCCTTTATATAAAGGGACTATACATGCTCTCCGCCAATCCCTAGGTACCTTCCCCTCTTTCATACATTTATTAAACAAAAGTACCAAGCACTCCAACACTATATCCCCCCCTACTTTTAACATTTCTGTCATGATCCCATCAGTTCCAGCTGCTTTACCCCCTTTCATTCTACGTAATGCCTCAGGGTACCTCCACCACACTTATATTCTGCTCTTCTTCACTCCTAAAAGATGGTATACCCCCCTGGCCAGTCCCATGAAATTACCGCCTCCCTTTCTTCCTCAACATTTAAAAGTTCCTCAAAATATTCTCGCCATCTACCTAATACCTCCCTCTCCCCATCTACTAACTCCCCTACTCTGTTTTTAACGGACAAATCCATACTTTCCCTAGGCTTTCTTAACTTGTTTAACTCACTCCAAAATTTTTTCTTATTTTCATTAAAATTTCTTGACAGTGCCTCTTCCACTCTTTCATCTGCTCTCCTTTTGCACTCTCACCACTCTCTTCACCTTTCTTTTACTCTCCATATACTCTGCTCTTCTTATAACACTTCTGCTTTGTAAAAACCTCTCGTAAGTTACCTTTTTCTATTTTATATGTATTCTGATAATTATACTTATGTGTACCTGTACCTAAATATACTTACACACTGTGCTGGTGTGCAGGTACACATTAAAATCACTAAGTCTCTCTCTACTCATGACGCCAATACTACGTAATAATAATCACTCTTGGGCACACTAAATGTCTTATTTCACATCAATATAGGCATTTTCATTAATCCATCTATGATATTTTCCTCAAAATTATATATGAAACCCATTACATAGCATATAAACATGATACATACACTCAGAATAAAAACTGATGTAAATATGATTTTTATTTACAAACCAGCTGTGTAGGTAGTGTCGGAAGAATTACATTTTCTCTAGTCAAACACTGGGGGGTAACTGTAGAAAAATATTCTTTTCGTATGCCTTTACTCTATGTATAGCAATTCATGACCCTTGTGGGTTTAGTGCTTTTTATAATTAATAATAATAATAATCATTATTATTAATATTAATAATAATAATATTATTATTATTATTAATATTAATACAATGGACCCCCGCTTAACGATCACCTCCTAATGTGACCAATTATGTAAGTGTATTTATATAAATGCGTTTGTACGTGTATGTTTGGGGGTCTGAAATGGACTAATCTACTTCACAATATTCCTTATGGGAACAAATTCGGTCAGTACTGGCACCTGAACATACTTCTGGAATGAAAAAATATCGTTAATCGGGGGTCCACTGTACTACTAATATTATTATTATTATTAATATTATTATCTTCATTCACTCTAAAAATGGTGTGTTGCTGTTTGTTTATTCTGAACTAACTTGTACAACTTGTACACAATGTAAGAGTATTTGTATTGTGAGGTAATTATTATTAAAGTAAAAAAATATTGAGGTAAATGTTTTACAAACTCTTATAAATGGAAGTGAATGAACTAAAAGTAGACACATATTAACCCTTTGACTGTCACCGCTGTATATATACGTCTTACGAGGTACCGTGTTTGACGTATATATACTCATAAATTCTAGCGGCTTCAAATCAAGCAGGAGAAAGCTGGTAGGCCCACATGTGAGAGAAGGGGTCTGTGTGGTCAGTGTGCACCATATAAAAAAATCCTGGAGCACGCAGTGCAAAATGAGAAAAAAAAAACTCCGACCGTTTTTTTTAATTAAAATGCCGACTTTGTGGTCTATTTTCGTATAGTATTTATGATTGTATTCTCGTTTTCTTGGTCTCATTTGATAGAATGGAAAACACATTATAGAAATCGAGGTGATTTTGATTGATTTTACTATAAAAAGAACGTAGAAATGGAGCTCAAAGTAGAGGAAATGTTTGATTTTTGCCAATGTTCAAAAGTAAACAAATGATGCCATTGTCCAATAAATTTTCCAACTACCATTCTAATATGCAGACATGAATGGGTTGATGGTATTTATACAATTTTACAGCATTGCAGTAGTCTGCATAATAGTAAGTCTTCTATTTTTTTGTTTGAATAAAAATTAAAAATAGAAAGCAAGAGTAATATCAGAGGGGCCTGGAGACATGACTGATGAGCAAAGAAAATGTTATTTTAGAGCCAGGAATGTCTGCATTGTTCATTCTGGACCTTATTTTGAAATTGTCATCTTTTTTAGTTTTTGTGAAATTGGCCAAATTGCAAATTTCTGACCCCCATTATTAGGTAGTTGAAATCGGTAAATGGGCAGTTTCTTGTACTCAATCGATAGAAAAAATGGAGTTCTAAAGAAATAGCTATGAATTTGGGCGACTGGAACAATGGAATTAGCTGAAATCGGTAAATGGGCAGTTTCTTGTACTCAATCGATAGAAAAAATGGAGTTCTAAAGAAATAGCTATGAGTTTGGGCGACTGGAACAATGGAATTAGCCAAAAATAGGGCTCAAAGTGGGCGAAATCGCCGATTTGTAAACAGCGCCGAGGTCGCTAACGTCGCGAGAGCATAATTCCGTCAGTTTTCCATCAAATTTCATTTTTTTGGTGTCATTACAATCGGGAAAAGATTCTCTATCATTTCATAAGAAAAAATAATTTTTTTTTTTAAATTTTGCGACACCAGGAGACACCTCAAGATTGGGGGTTGCGACAGTCAAAGGGTTAATATGCATTTATTTCGCCTGACCAAATGATCATCCACTACCTGTTCAGTTTATGTTCTTACATTGTCTCAACTCTGTATCTCGTTCTCTCTCTCATTTACTCTTTCGTTAACTAGTTGGCTCTCATTGACGATGGCGTCTAAGGTTAGCTGTAATAAAAAGAGAAGTCGTAAGCCTTTTGCTTTAAGTGCCAAGTTAGAGGATGATGGTGTGGCATTCTGATTTTATTCAATAAACACCCTGCCACTCACCTCTCACACATTAATATTAATATTTTAAGGTAAGTAATAAGTGTACTCTGTGTGTATCTTACCTTTTATTGTGTTTTTAATGCCTATTTCTATTGCTAACTTAATTTAAGTTAGTGTAAACTTGTTGTCTGGCATTTATTGCATATTTTATATGCTCTGATAATAATACTTGTGGAGCCGGGTGGAGGGACAACATTACGTTTTCTCTGTTCAGCCATCAGAGAAAACGTGTATGAATCTGCGTTTGGCCCAGCCACTCCCCCACTCCGCTTTTGTTTACAATTTTTGGCATGAATTATTCATTACTTCTACCTTCGTTTATGATGGCATCTAAAGGTAGTTGTTAGAAATGATTAAATTCAGTGAACAAGGCATATCGATGTTAATAATATGGCTCTGGGCCACAGTGTAGGTAGCCGGTAGGTGTAGCCCAGGCTACACCTACCGGCTACCTACACTAACTTTATACAAATAAATACTACTCACCTCTCTTCCTATATTAAGACTACACATATTTTAAGGTAAATAATAAGTGTACTGTATGTGCATTGTACCTCTCTGGGATGTTTTAAATATCGTATATTAAGTATGAGATGGGGAGCCAGTGCTACCTACACCTGGGCTACCTGCACCTGACTTCCTACAAATAAGTACACTACTCACCTCTCTCCCTACATTAAGATTACAAATACTTTAAGATAAGTAATGAATTTACTGTGACTGTATTTTACTTTGTGTTTTTAATGCCTAGTTCTATTACTAACTTAATATAATTTAGTGTAAACTTGTTGTCTGGCATTTATATGCATTTATAAATGGAAAAAATGGAGTTCTGCCTTCCGGCGATGTCTGCTTTCCGGCGACAGCCTGGAACCTAACCCGCCGTATAAGTGGGGCCCTACTGTAATATAATAATCACCACTTTATGTATCAGTAGTAAGAGGAAAAGCTCACCAGTTCCATGATTTTCACCAACCTGGTACAGAGAAGGCTCCTCAATCATGACAGATAACACAAGAAGGTACAACCTTAATTTTACCTGTTATATGTTAGACTTCATAACAGTCACAAGTAACACTCAAGTAATAGGAGGGCACATCCTCCATCTTACTAACTAAACATTATGCAGGAGTGCACAGCCTCCATCTCACTAAACATTATGACAGGAGTGCACAACCTCCATCTCACTAAGTAAACATTATGACAAGAGGGCACAACCTCCATCTTACTACTAAACATTATGACAGGAGGGCATTACCTCCATCTTACCTGTTATAGGAGAGACACCACAACCATCACAGGTAACACTCAGGTGACAGGAAGGCACAACTTCCATCTCACTAACTAAACCTTGCCAGTTAGGTTGCTGTGGGAAATCTACCATCAGGTCCTGGCCATTGCTGCTCACACCTAACCAGAGGCAAAACATAAAATAATGTAAACTCACCAAGCACTAAGTTAAATGTACAGTTTTTGTATCGGAGTCACCCCAGTCACTTTTCAAGAATAAAAACTAATAAAGATACCGAAACATACCATACCCCGGCCGGGATTGAACCCGCGGTCAGAGAGTCTCAAAACTCCAGACCGTCGCGTTAGCCATTAGACCAGCTAGCCACAATAAGATTCGTCCAACTAGGTATATTTCTACACCATAGGAAGGTTAGCTAAGGTATGCTAACCTTCCTATGGTGTAGAAATATACCTAGTGGGACGAATCTTATTGTGGCTAGCTGGTCTAGCGGCTAACGCAACGGTCTGGAGTTTTGAGACTCTCTGACCGCGGGTTCAATCCCGGCCGGGGTATGGTTTGTTTGCAATCATGTCATTACGATTTCGTGAGTCATACTGAAACATTTAAGAAAATATATTCCATTTGTTTCACTGCATTTTAAACTCTTTTACAGTGTTGTCAAAAGCTTACATGTAAATAATTTTGAAAAGCATATACACAAAGGAAAGGCGAATGTAAAAAGAGTCATGAGTCATGATTGATATTTAACCCTTTTAGTGTCAGTTCAGTTGTACTACAGCTTAGAAGCTAAGGTTGGTCGTGTTGTACTATGCCATGAACTCAGCTCACTTTGATGAGCTCTGAGCAGTAAATCTGGGCTTAGATAGGAAAGAATGGGTCTATGCAGTAAGCATGCACCATATAAAAAAATATCCTGCAGCACACGGTGCATGAGAAAAAAACTGACTATGTTATTGGTTCAAAACAGCAAGTTTGCAGTGTATGTTTGTAGGGTTTTTATGGTTGTATTCTCGGTTTTTTGGTCTCATTTGATAGAATGGAAGATATATTACAGAATTAAAGATGATGATTTCTTTCAGGACTGAAAGTATCTTGAAATTAAGCTCAAAGTTTGATTTTTGCCAATATTCTAGAGTACACAAATGACATCACTTTTTCAATATGCATCCAACTGGCCAGTCTAATACTATTTAGGAATGCACTGACATTATTTATACAATAATTACAATAATGCAGTAGTCTGCATAACAGTAAGTCTTCTATTTTTTGTGAATAAAAATTCACACTGGAAAGAAAACGTAATACGTATAAGAGGGGCCTGGAGACGAGGAAATGTTTACACTGTTTATTCTGGACATTATTTTTAACCCTTTCAGGGTCCAAGGATAAAATCTGAAGGGGTGCCCCAGTGTCCAAGAAATTCTGAAAAAAAAAAAAAATCTTACAGAATTAAAGATATTTTTGTGAAGGTAATAAAACAAACAACAAAAATTTTTTGATCGGTATTTACCACGATACAGCGGCGGGAAGTTGACCCAAAATGACCGGGTGGCGGCAACATCAGTGACTTCCACAAAATCGCATTTTTTTATTTTACGTTTTTTATATTTTTTTCTTTTCTTTTCTAATTTTTTTTCTAGTAACATTTGTGGCCTGTGAGACCAATATAATGTATATTGCATAAGTGTACACTCATTGTATTCAACACAATAACTGCACTAATTTGTTTATCATTATATTGCTTACAAAACTTGTTTACAAGTTTATTGTAAACAAGATGATGAAAATATTAGTGCAGTTATTGTGTTGAATACAACGGTGCCATATAGTACCATATGGTACAATGGTGCCATAGGGTGCATTGGTACTATATAGTACTAATGTACCATATGGTACAATCAAATAAAAGTTTATTCTCTATAAGGATTACAATACAGGGTTTACAGATTTTGGTTATTGTGGTTTACATGTAGTAAAATACTAATTACAGAGGGGGCCACTAGAACATCTAGCATGGCTAGGCATTTTGGGCAACTTAGATTAATTCTTAACCCTAAATTATAACAAATTGTGGAGTAAGTTGACTAAATACTAAGTGACTAAATACTAAGTGACAAATACTAGTTTGTGAGTTTAGCAATGTGAATGCTTTTGTTTTGGCACAATACATAGTTTCTATATTGGAGTATCACAGGCAAACTTATGACTAGTTAGGAATCATTATTTTAATAAACAGAATACTCCATTCTACTGATTACACAGCAAAACAGTAAATGACCATATGACCTGTCTTTGTAATACTCATTTGTACTAAATTGTTATCCGTTTTACAATAATTTTTGTACCACTGAATATATCATTGCTTAGTTAATCTTAAGTTAATTTTAAGCCTGCCCATAATGCTCTGCATACAAGGGGCTTTGGCATGCTGCACTTTAAAAATTGTATTCCTTGTACTTCTCTGTATCATGTTCAAATTAATAAATAAATAAATAAATAAATAAGATTAGGATTTGTATTTCTGTGCTTATAGCCAAATGAGTGAGTGAATGAGTGTAAATGTGGACCACCAGGTGGTTTTTATGTAGTTAGTTGATGGGGTGTATCAGGGAGATAAGATGTTTTCTAACAGTAGTTTGAAGGTGATGAATGTGTCTGCTGTTTTAGAGTTTTCAGGTAGTGTGTTCCAGATTTTAGGGCCTTTGACATACATTGAGTTTTTGTAAAGGTTTAGTTGGACACGGGGAATGTCATAGAGATGTTTGTGTCTGGTGTTATGCCTGTGGGTCCTGTCACAACTATCAAGAAAGCATTTTAGGTCAAGGTTAATATTGGAATTTAAGGTCCTGTATATGTAGACTGCACAGTAGTAAGTGTGGATATTCTGAACAGGGAGTAAGTTTAGATCTATGAAGAGTGGAGGGGTGTGTTGCCAGGGATGGGAATTAGTGATTATTCTTATTGCAGCTTTTTGTTGAGTTATTATTGGCTTTAGGTGTATTGCTGCAGTTGATCCCCAAGCACAAATAGCATAGGTGAGGTATGGATAAATGAGTGAATGGTATAGTGTGAGAAGGGCATTTTGCGGCACGTAGTATCGTATATTGGAGAGGATCCCAACTGTTTTGGATACTTTTTTTGATATGTGTTGGATATGGGTGCTGAAATTCAGGTTGTTGTCGAGGTATAGGCCTAGGAATTTGCCCTCATTATGTCTGGCAATTAGAGTGCTGTCGATCTTAATGTTAAGTTGCGCAGCACCTGCTCTGCTACTAAACATAATATAGTAGGTTTTGTCTGTCATTCAAGTTGATATTTTGAGCAGCTCCTCATTAACAATGGTGTTGAGGGTGGCAAGATTAGGGTGCGAGATAACATAAGTTGTGTCGTCAGCAAAGAGAATGGGTTTCAGGTGTTGGGATACGTTTGGAAGATCACTGATGTAAATGAGGAAGAGCAGGGGCCCAAGGACACTTCCCTGCGGAACTCCAGTATCAAGTGGCCGTGTTGATGATGCTGTGTCTTTAATGGTGACATACTGATACCTATTAGTAAGGTAGGATTTGAAATATGCAAGCGCATGGCATCTTATACCATAATGGTCAAGTTTGTGGAGTAGGATGTCGTGGTCTACTGTGTCAAAAGCTTTTCTTATGTCAGTAAAAATTCCTAGCGGATATTCCTTATTTTCCAATGCTGTGTAAAGCAGATCTAGCATTTTACAATTGCATCATTAGTGCTTTTTTTATTTTTCCTGAATCCAAATTGGCAGGGGTTGAGTATGTTTTGTGCCGTTATAAATGAACACAGTCTCCTGTGCACGAGTTTCTCGAAGATTTTGGATAGGAATGGCAAGTTTGATATTGGCCTATAGTTGTTTACATCTGTAGGGTCACCACCTTTATGTATTGGTGTAACCCTTGCTGTCTTGAGTAGTTTTGGGAAGGTGCTAGTTTCTAGTGACTTGTTAAAAAGTAATGAAATAGCATGCGAAAGGACATGGGCCACTCGCTTGTACAATAATGGTGGGGCACGAGACAGGTTCCCTGAGTTATTTTTAAGTAACTTTATAATCTCAGTGACTTCAGTGGGTTCAGTTGGAACAAGATAGAAGGAATTTTGGAAATTCCCATCTAGATAGTCTCTGGCATGGGCGTTGGTACGTGGGATTTTACTGGCAAGATTAGATCCTATGGTTCAGAAGAAGTCGTTTATCTTGTTAGCTGTTTCAGTGGGATGCAGTGGTGTTTCATTAGGTTTAGTTAGGACAATATGTTTTTTTTCAGTTTGTGGGTGCCCAGAATCATTTTGTGGGAGCCCAGAATCTGAGGTCTTTTTTATGTCTCCTCTTCTGTCAGTGAATCTGCTGGAGTAGTACAGCTTTCTTTATTACTTTGGTGAGAACTGATGAATAGTGTTTAAGAATATCTTTATGTATTAAGCCCTGTCTATATTGGTTTTCATATTGGTGTTTCTTATCAATGGATTTCCGAATGCTGCTGGTTAGCCATGGGCAACCGAGCCGTTTATTCGTGATTTGTTTCGTTTTTATAGGACAATGTTTGTTGTATAGTCTAAGTAATTTGTTAAGAAAAATGTCTGTCCAATCGTTAGTACCATTGGCCTTGGAGAATTCTGTAGGCCAGTCAACAGTCTCTAGGTCTGCTGTGAAATTCCTTATTGAGGCCTCATCATGGAGTCTAAATGAAACTTTGTTGTATTCCAGTGGTGGTTTACTAATGTTTGCTAAGAGAAAGGTAGGGTAGTGGTCTGTAGTGCTGTCTGTGATTATCCCTGATTTAAGGGGGGCTAGTATATCTGTCCATATGTGGTCTATTGTGGCCATATTGTGGTGATGGTAGTGCCACAGCAATGCATGACTCACCAGCCAAGGCTGGGACCCACGCCGCTGACTCCTCAGCTCAAGGACAAAGCGGAGTGTCAGCCATCACCCCACCACAACTACAACTACCACCACAACCAACTTATGATGTCCAGTATCCACCAGCAAACCATATCTGGGATTGGCAGCAAAATCCCAATTTTGTTCCCAAGCCCCACCAGTTTGATGACTCTTGAAGTGGAATTCTACCAACTTGTTCCCTTGGAAACACTGAAAATGAACTGGAATTCTTTGAACTATTCTTTGACCAGCCCTTGATGGAAACTATTGTCAGGGAAAATAAGTATTTTGAGTACACCATGCCAAATATGATCATATCACCACAGTCAAGACTACACCGGTGAAAGAGACAACTGTTGCTGAAATGTATTTGCTTTTTGCAATAATAATGCTTATGCCTCATGTCTATAAGCATAATATAAAAGCATACTGGTCCACAGATCGGCTAATTTCTACCCCGGTCTTCAGTGAAATCATACCAGTGAACAGGTTTATCTTACTGTTATGTATGTTGCACTTCTCTGACAAAACCAGGCCTGACAGAAGTGACAGGTTATGCAAGATTAGAAGTGTTTTTATATATCTGAAACAATAGCTCAACATGTACTTTTATCCATTCAAGAATCTTCTAATTGATGAGTCTTTGATTTTGTTCAAAGGTAGACTGTCATTCAAGCAGTATATACTGAGCAAGAGGAAACGCTTTGGTGTAAAACTGTTTATACTCTGTTACTGTGACAGTGGCCTGGTATTGGATATTATTGTATACACGGAAAGTAAAACACTGAAAGATACCAGGATGTTATTGGGTATCTCAGGTGACGTAGTGAGAAACATGATGGCACCTATCTTGGTAAGGGGCATACATTATATACTGATAACTGGTACACAAGCCCTTTACTCAATGATTTCTTGCGAGTGAACATGACAGATATGTGTGGCACAGTGCATTCTAATCATAAACATATGCCCAGGTTCAACGCAGGCACTCGCAGTGGTGAGGTGCAGGTGTTTACTGTCAATGACATCATGGCATTATGGTGGCATGACAAATGAGATGTCACATTGTTGACAACCATTCACCCTAACAAAATGCAAGACAGTGGTAAAGTTGATAGAGTGACTAATGAACGTATTCGAAAAAAAGTGACAGTGATTGATTATACACAAAACATGCGTTTGGTTGACAAATGTGACATACAGATTAGCTTTGTTGATTGTGTTCGTAAGAGTTACAAGTGGTACATGAAACTTTTCTTCCATCTCATGGACATTTCAATGCTCAATGCATATAATATGTACCAAATGAAGACTGGCAAGAGACCACCGTATGGTGAATTTTGCTTGTTTGTTTTCAGACAACTCATAATGAAGTACCAGGTAATAACACCTGCTATACAAAACCATCCTTGAACTCCTCAGGAAATACCCAAGCGTTTGAGGAGGGAAGGTGATCACTTCATAATACAGCTTCCTGCAACTAAGAAGAAATTTGCTCAGAAGAGATGTGTTGTCTGTGCACAAACAAAACGACGGCAACAAAGGCGCAAAGACACTAGCTTTATGTGTGAGGAATGATACCTTGTTTCAAGGACTTCCACAAGCTGCAGCAGTTCTAGTAACATGTCCAGTGACTGTACATATGTAAATATATAATAGAACATTAGTATTATACAATATTTGTGCATGCTTACTGTAGTACACAAAAGTGGTAAACAATATTATAATAATAACTTTAGTGCAGTTATTGTGTTCAATACAGTGTGTGTATATATATACATTATGTACAGTACATGTATTGGTCTCACGGGCCACAAATGTTACTAGAAAAAGAAAAAATTAGAAAAGACAAGAAAAAAGTATTAAAAACGTAAAATAAAGAAATGCGACTTTGTGGAAATCGCTGATGTTGGTGCCACCCGGTCGTTTTGGGTCAACTTCTCGCCTATGTATCTCGTTAAGTACTCATCAGAATTTTTTTGTTTGTTTTATTACCTTCACAAAAATATAATCTTTAATTCTGTAAGAAAAAAGTTTTTTTTTTTTTAACCCTTTCAGGGTCCGCGCCGTAGATCTACGGCTTTACGTTGAGGGTCCAAACCATAGATCTACGCCATGAGCTCAGCTCACTCTGATAAGCTGTGAGTGGTAAATTTGGGCCTAGATATGAGAGAATACATCTATGTGGTATGTGTGCACCACATAAAACAAATCCTGCAGCACACAGTGTATAATGAGAAAAAAACTGAGACCATGATTTTCGATTAAAACAGCGACTTTGCAGTGTTTTTTCATATGTTTTTTATAGTTGAATTGCGGTTTCTTGGTCTCATTTGATAGAATGGAAGATATATTACAGAAACAGAGATGATTTTGATTGGTTTTAGTATTGAAAATGGCTTGAAACTGAGCTCAAAGTAGCGGAAATGTTAAATTTTTGCCGATGTTCAAGAGTAAACAAATGACCTCACACTTCTAATACATGCCAGCTGGTGGGTCTAATATACATTCACAAATGTGGTGATGATATTTATACAATTATTACAATATTGCATAACAGTAAATCTTCTATTTTTTGGTTTGAATAAAAATTCATTATATGAATAAAAAATCAAAATGAAATTCATTTGTAAAGCCTGAAAATGTAACTAATGAACAGAGGAAATGTTAGTTTAGTGCCAGGAATACCTGCATTGTTTATTCTGGACCCTATTTTGAAATTGGAATATTTTGAACTTTGTGTTAAATTGGCCAAATTACCAATTTCCGATCACTTTATTTTGTAGTTGAAACAACTGACTGGATGATTTCTTGTGCTCAATCGATAGAATAGAAGTAATACTAGTGAAATAGCTAAGAATTTGGTCAACTGGAATAATGTAATTGGCCTAAAATGGGAGTCAAAGTTGGCAAAATCGCCGATTCGTAAATATCGCTGACACATTAAAATTCGCGAGAGCATAATTTTGTCAATTTTCCATCAAATATACTTTTTGTTTTAGTACCTTCAGAAAAAGATTCTTTACCATTTCATAAGAAAAAATAACAAATTTTTTTTTTTAAAATTCTTGAACCCTGATGCACACTTTGAAATTTGGTCTCTGGACCCTGAAAGGGTTAAATTTCTTGGACACTGGGGTACCCCTTTCAGACTTTGCCTTTGGACCCTGAAAGGGTTAAGGCAAACTGTTCCCACAATGCCCTGCATGATGGAGACATTTCTTGTTTGTGCCCACACCAACGATGCAGCATTACTTTTATCCTGCGAATGTTTAACATTCCTGTTTGTGGCCATTTTGAGGGCACTAGAATTTAAACTCTAACCTGCATGTATGGCAATATACGCCCATCTGTTTTAACGTGTGTGACAGTTAAGCATTAACTGTAATTCAACAAGTATTATGCCAGACAGGAATTTATTATTTATTATCACACTGGCCGATTCCCACCAAGGCAGGGTGGCCCGAAAAAGAAAAACTTTCACCATCATTCACTCCATCACTGTCTTGCCAGAAGGGTGCTTTACACTACAGTTTTTAAACTGCAACATTAACACCCCTCCTTCAGAGTGCAGGCACTGTACTTCCCATCTCCAGGACTCAAGTCCGGCCTGCCGGTTTCCCTGAACCACTTCATAAATGTTACTTTGCTCACACTCCAACAGCACGTCAAGTATTAAAAACCATTTGTCTCCATTCACTCCTATCAAACATGCTCACGCATGCCTGCTGGAAGTCCAAGCCCCTCGCACACAAAACCTCCTTTACCCCCTCCCTCCAACCTTTCCTAGGCCGACCCCTACCCCGCCTTCCTTCCACTACAGACTGATACACTCTTGAAGTTATTCTGTTTCGCTCCATTCTCTCCACATGTCCGAACCACCTCAACAACCCTTCCTCAGCCCTCTGGACAGGAAATCAGAACGTAACTATAAAAGCTAAAGAAGACAGTACCCACAGTAATAAAGCAATATTACCAAGAATGACACAAAAGACTTACTTGTAACTACTCCAATATTGCGATGGTTAACTGAGCCCCACTTGTACTTCGGGGTAACTACTGAACTTTTCACTCTTACTTTGTCTCCAACTCTAATAGGACCATTTGAAGCTAATGGTGGCGGTGACTGGTCCAAGAGTTCAATGTGGATGTATCGAACCCAGTATGTTCCTCCTTTCCGATGCCAGTCAACCTGTTGTTTTCAAAATTTAACCAAACATTAGATCTAATTATCCATTGTGTCACATATACAGGCAGACCCTGATGTACAGCACTTAGCTTTATGGTGTTTCACTAATGCAGTGGTTTTCTATTAGTACTTCCATTCTTCATTGATTCAGATTTCCTACAATAAATATATTCACCACTCACTATAAGCTAAAGACAAAAATATTTTAAAGTAAGTAATGTGTGTACTGTATATGCATTTTTTAGGCCTAGCTCTATTGCTCACTTAATATATGATAGTGTAAAAGCGTTATCAGGCTTTCATATGCACCTACAAGTAAAAAACTCTATATTTCACTTTACACCAATTTTTGCTTTACAGTAATAGCCCAGAACCTAACCTGATGTATAAGTGGGGCCCGCCTGTATGAGCCAATGAATCTTTAAAAAAAATCACACATTTTATATAACCTTTAAAAAAGAAGGGTGCATCCATACTAACCTGGACATTGAGGTTATGCAGAGAACCTCTATCCACACGTACAACCCGGCCGATATCTCCTTCATACACTTCTTCATATGTGCGACAGCAACGCACTGTCATACCAGGAGATATGTGATCTCGCACATACATGGCATATTCATCATTGCTCGTAAACTCCATCCGTTTGCGATACACTTCAACAACTGGAGATGACTAGAATGGATGAAAAAATTATAGGCTTAACATCAATGGCTAATACAGTACATTAACATTTATACTTAAAATATCTTTCCTCTATGTTTTTACTAGAGAATGTCTTTAATCAAATACATTTTTATATTCTGTAACCTTATTCATATAATAAGTCCAGATCCTACCTACTCAATATGATGTATTATAAATTTAGGTTTAAATCTGCCAACCTGAACATGACTCAATTTATTATATCAACACAGTTTAGATATCCTTAAAATCCTGTTTTACAGGGCTTACTACTATTATCTAGCCAATTCATTCTCTATAACTCATGATATTTTTAATGTTTATATACCTGATACTACCATCACAAGTGACAGATCCAAAGGAAATGTGAATTAATGCTTCAGAAATACTGTAGAACTATTCAAGCAATATTTACCTCTTGCTTATATTCTAAAATTCTTCTCTAGCACAGAACTAATTCACTGTCAAATACTCATATTTCCTGAAATATCTGCTGCTGTCTTAAACAAATGACTCAACAGCTGATATTTAAAATCTTAACTGAAATAGAAACTTCCTTTTTTTTTTTTTTTTTTTTTTTACTCAGAACCATTTTTGAGTGCTTGGGACTTCAGCATCCAGCAGATTTGTGCAAATGTGTTATATCAGAGTGGAAGCAAGCAGTTTTTATGGCTTGAAGTGCTGTTGGAGTATGAGCCAGAAAACATTTATGAACACCACCCACTACTGCCCCCACAACTCTCTGAACATCGACAAACATGGCCGCCACCCCATGAAAAAAGAGGAGAACTCCTTCCATGGATTCAACAAACTGGAGCTGTAAGACCCAGAGATGGCTAAATATATCAAGACACAGGAACAAAAAATCACCACATTAACTCAAGAAATGCAGGAATTAAGGACAACAAATGGGATACTCACCCAGGAAGTACAAGAACTAAAAACAGCCAACGATTAACTCCTTGACAGAATCACAACCCTAGAAGGCAAAATTCATGCAACAGACCAATCAAATAACAGCCACACTGAAACTGAGCACACCATCAATTACCTTTGGGACAACGTCACTAAACTAAATTCCATCCTAAGAGAAGAAAGATCATGAGTGGATCTCCAACTGGCCGATGTCATCAACAACTTCCAAGACCATAATGACCAACAACAGCCATGTGATGCCGTTGGAGTTAATAGCCACCATCTCCCACCTACAGTCACCCAAGAGACATGCATGGAGACCACCCTACAGCTTATCAAGGGCCACCTTCACCTAAACATACATAGTGATGAAGTAAAAGATTGCAAACTGATAGGCTACCAAGCGAGGGAAAAAAACAGTGCTATTAACCCTTTCAGGATCCGTGCTGTAGATCTACAGCTTTATGTTCAGGGTCCAAACCGTAGATCTACGCTAAAATTCTAGTGGCATCAAATTTAGCGCAAAAAGGCTGGTAGGCCTACATGTGAGAGAATGGGTCTGCATTGTGTGTGTGCGCACCGTAAACAAAAATTCTAGGCGCCTGCAAAGCATTGTGGGAACACCGGCTCAGTTACCTTTGTTCACCATGCCTCGTCACAAAGCAGCTCTCACTCCACGGAAAACTGGTACTCTTCTCTTCCTATCTGATAGTTCTGACTCTGATGGAAGTGGAAATGAAGAATTCTTTGGCTTTGATCAGTTAGTGACCGAAAGGAATGACCAGGATATCGATAATAGTGCAGAAAGCCCTGATGATCCTCAACCTTCTACCTCTGGTGTGGTACGCCTCAGTCACGTTCAGTTGTACCTCATCGCAAGAGAAAACTATTATTTTTTCGTGGCCAGGCCTCAGACTTCAGTAATGATGATGACAGTGATGTGGATTGTGATTTTATTGCTCTTGACGATCATTCGAGTAGTGATAATGAGGAAACATATTCACCAGTGAACCGTCGGTATATATGCTGCTGCATGCGCTCGGGTAGTGTTCCCTATGCAGTGCCCAGGAAACGGAGTACATCCTGGAGTACATCCCGTCGCCCTACACCAGGAATAGACAGTGAAAGTGAGGATGATGTGGCTACACTTGGCATGGACAGACCACAGGCATCAGTAGGTGGTGGTGTGGTGATGGTAGTGCCACGGCCATGCATGACTCACCAGCCAAGGCTGGGACCCACACTGCTGACTTCTCAGTTCAAGGACAGAGCAGAGCGTCAGCCACCAGCCCACCACAACCACAACTACCAGCACATGATGTCCAGTATCCACCAGCAAACCATATCTGGGATTGGCAGCAAAATCCCAATTTTGTTCCCAAGCCCCACCAGTTTGATGACTCTCAAAGTGGAATTCTACCTACTTGTCCCCTTGGAAACACTGCAAATGAACTGGAATTCTTTGAACTTTTCTTTGACCAGCCCTTGATGGAAACTATTGTCAGGGAAAGTAACAAGTATTTTGAGTACACCATGGCAAATACGATCATATCACCACAGTCAAGACTACACCGGAGGAAAGAGACAACTGTTGCAGAAATGTATTTGCTTTTCGCAACAATAATGCTTATGCCTCATGTCTATAAGCATAATATAAAAGGATACTGGTCCACAGATCAGCTAATTTCTATTCCGGTCTTCAGTGAAATCATCCTACTGAACAGGTTTATCTTACTGTTACGTATGTTGCACTTCTCTGACAAAACCAGGCCTGACAGAAGTGACAGGTTATACAAGATTAGAAATGTTTTTATGTATCTGAAACAAAAGCTCAACATGTACTTTTCTCCATTCAAGAATCCTGTTCAAAGGTAGACTGTCGTTCAAATAGTATATACCGAGCAAGAGGAAACGCTTTGGTATAAAACTGTTTGTACTCTGTGACTGTGACAGTGGCCTGGTATTGGATATTGTTGTATACAAAGGAAGTAAAACATTGAAAGATACCAGGATGTTATTGGGTATCTCAGGTGACGTAGTAAGAAGCATGATGGCACCTTATCTTGGTAAGGAGCATACATTATATACTGATAACTTGTACACAAGGTATGTCTTGCTACTTCTACTTACACTTAGGTCACACTACACATACATATACAAGCACATATATACACACACCCCTCTGGGTTTTCTTCTATTTTCTTTCTAGTTCTTATTCTTGTTTATTTCCTCTTATCTCCATGGGGAAGTGGAACAGAATTCTTCCTCTGTAAGCCATGCGTGTTGTAAGAGGTGACTAAAATGCCGGGAGCAAGGGGCTAGTAACCTCTTCTCCTGTATATATTACTAAATGTAAAAGGAGAAACTTCCGTTTTTCCTTTTGGGCCACCCAGTCTCGGTGGGATACGGCCGGTGTGTTGAAAGAAAAACTGGTACACAAGTCCTTTACTCAGTAATTTCTTGCGAGTGAACATGACAGATGTGTGTGGCACAGTGCGTTCTAATCGTAAACATATGCCCAGGTTCAACGCAGGCACTCGTGGTGAAGAGGTGCAGGTGTTTACTGCCAATGACATCATGGCATTACGGTGGCATGACAAACGAGATGTTACATTGTTGACAACCATTCACCGTAATGAAATGCAAGACAGTGGCAAAGTTGATCAAGTGACTAATGAACGTATTCAAAAACCAGTGACAGTGATTGATTATACACAAAACATGCGTTTGGTTGACAAATGTGACATGCAGATTGGCTTTGTTGATTGTGTTCATAAGAGTTACAAGTGGTACCTGAAATCTTCTTCCATCCATATAATATGTACCAAGTGAAGTCTGGCAACAGACCACCGTATGGTGAATTTTGTTTGTTTGTTGTCAGACAACTCATAATGAAATACGTACCAGGTAACAACACCTGCTATACAAAACTGTCCTCGAACTCCTCAGGACATACCCAAGCATTTGAGGAGGGAAGGTGATCACTTCATAATACAGCTTCATGCAACTAAGAAGAAATTTGCTCAGAAGAGATGTGTTGTTTGTGCACAAACAAAACGACGGCAACAAAGATGCAAAGACATTCGCTTTATGTGCGAGGGATATAAGGTACCTCTGTGCATGGTGCCTTGTTTCAAGGAGTTCCACAAGCTGCAGCAGTTCTAAAAACATGTCCAGTGATTGTGCATAAGTAAATATATGATAGAACATTAGTAATATACAAGATTTGTGCATGTTTATTGTAATAAACAAAAGTGGTAAACAATATTATAATAACTTTAGTGCAGTTATTGTGTTCAATACAGTTAGTTTATATATATATATATATTTTTTTTTTTTCAACAAGTCGGCCGTCTCCCACCGAGGCAGGGTGACCCAAAAAAGAAAGAAAATCCCCAAAAAGAAAATACTTTCATCATCATTCAACACTTTCACCACACTCACACATTATCACTGTTTTTGCAGAGGTGCTCAGAATACAACAGTTTAGAAGCATATACATATAAAGATACACAACATATCCCTCCAAACTGCCAATATCCCAAACCCCTCCTTTAAAGTGCAGGCATTGTACTTCCCATTTCCAGGACTCAAGTCCGACTATATGAAAATAACCGGTTTCCCTGAATCCCTTCACTAAATATTACCCTGCTCACACTCCAACAGATCGTCAGGTCCCAAGTATCATTCGTCTCCATTCACTCCTATCTAACACGCTCATCGCGCTTGCTGGAAGTCCAAGCCCTTCGCCCACAAAACCTCCTTTACCCCCTCTTTCCAACCCTTTCGAGGACGACCCCTACCCCTCCTTCCTTCCCCTATAGATTTATATGCTTTCCATGTCATTCTACTTTGATCCATTCTCTCTAAATGACCAAACCACCTCAACAACCCCTCTTCTGCCCTCTGACTAATGCTTTTATTAACTCCACACCTTCTCCTAATTTCCACACTCCGAATTTTCTGCATAATATTTACACCACACATTGCCCTTAGACAGGACAGCACCACTGCCTCCAACCCTCTCCTCGCTGCTGCATTTACCACCCAAGCTTCACATCCATATAAGTGTGTTG